TCTTCAAGTGTAAATCCGATGAAAACTCTGTGACTAATAATGTTAGTTAGTCCTTGCATGATTTACGAAATATTTACGTTTGTTTATTTTTTTTGTAACTATTGTTCTTTAATACTTTGTACTTAAGCTAAAAAAAATATTCATGTACGTGACTTACATTTATTAACATAATATTTAATGTTACTATATCTATGGTATCATAAAGTCTAAGCACAGATTGATGTAATTTGAATTAATTAGTGAACTATTAAAGTTATCAACTTAAATTAATTAAATTAATGTTTATTGGACGTAATTTTTATAGAGATTTAACTCTAATTGTTTGTGACTTATTTACGATAATTCATGAGGATTTAATTGCTATGTTAAATGGACTTATAATTTAACTATTCTTTAAAGGAAAAATATTTTGCAGTTTTTCGTCGGATGGATTAAAGATGTAAATTATCATTTACAATATTTTTCTTATTAGTTTAATAATTGTTATTTTAGTTTTTTCACAATTATATATTTAATCATGAATTCATAAATTTATGAATTTATTGCTATAACACAGAAGTATTGAAGTTGTTATGTTTTGTTTTCTTAAAAGGTAGACAAACTAGTTACCATAAATAATCACTTATTTAGTTCATTTTTCGATATTTTGAAGTGCACTAAGCACGAGAGATAACATTCTGCATTTGCCGCGCTTAAAAATACACGGCGAGTCGTGGAAAAACAACAAATTGTGTGCAGTAAAGGAAACAAAAAACACGACATTCATTTATCACACATTTCACACGAAGCTATTTTGAAGTGAGAATATTTTGCGCCGAAACATATTTCATACTCACAATATTGGATCAGTAGCAGCAATAAAAATTGGCATGCACGTAGATTTATGAACGTGCCATTCTGGCACTTCCGTTGAAATAAATTAAAAAAATCAAACCAAAAATGCAGTATTTGTATGTAAAAATAATCTTCGAAAAATTGGTATAAAATTGTGCATTTAAATCAAGGTGCGAAAAAAAAAATTGAATTACAACAATACATTGTATAATTCGGGTTGTATAAAACCGGACTAATCGAGGATTTAAAATCTTAAAAAGAGACTTGACCATATACAATTTTTTTAAAAATTTATCTATATTTTCTTCATTTCATATTTACTTTGTTTTGACATATTAAATACGGACTATGCGAGGTATTGATGTATATCATTAAAGTTGTGAAGATAATACAAAATCAAAGTTACATCGTAATTTGTGTTTTACAAGGAAATATCAAAGAGCGTCTTATACAGTGATGAGTTTTATACGAAAACTATAGATGCGAAACAAATACAAAATCATAATTAATTCTACTATTCTACAGTTCCGAAAAATGGTCACAAGAAGCATAAAACTTTCACCTTGCTTCTCATATTTCAATAATGTTTGTTTCATAGCCGACAAACAATTTATTCTTGCCACATCACCAATATAAATTAAGCTTTGAATATAAATTAATTGCCACGTGATCGTGACAAAAGCAGGCTTTGCAATTTGCAACTGTTCCTGCTCGATACATTGTCGTTAATCAAATATATTGAGTGTATTTCTAAACATAAATACTGGCAAATCATTTTGCTTTACAACTGCCAGGAAAAACAACAAGATGCATTTGTTATGAGTTTCCGCACTTCTTTCCAAAACTTCAATTAATTATTAATAATTATCTATTATTTATGAATATACAATTAACGAAAAACCTGTCGTGGATTTGAATTGATAATTGTACTAGATAATAATTTCTTCTTTTTTTCTTCTAGGTAAGACGTCTTCAAGATATATTCCTAGGTATATAGCTACATTTGTTATTTAGGGTAACAGGTAGACAGACTTAGTTTCGTTAGTCTTAATTATCTATCTCTTAATCTTAGAATTAAAGATAAATTTGTAAAAAAGTTAAATCATCAAAATTAGGTAAATTAAAATTCTTGCAGTGGAGTCTTCTTAAAGTAAAAAATTGAACGTAAAGATATTTATGCTACAGTTTTATTTGCAACAAAACAAAGAATAATGTTGTTATTGTTGATAATTTTCTGCATGTTGTGCATATTCCGTACTCCTCTTAAAAAAATAAGATTATTCAATTTTCCTCTGCAAAAACCTATGAAATATTATTTTATGTTATGTGGAGAGTAAAGTATATTAGACATGTAAAGAATTTAGATGAGTTAAACTTGAAAAATTCTCACATTATTTATTCTACCTTAATTCTTGTAAATACAAATAAGATCTGTCTTATAACTGGTACTAGTATCTTTACAAATCTCTTACACAAATTCATGTCTGACTAAATTTCAGTTATATTATTAAAAAAAATCCATATTAACAACATCTAAATACATAATAGTTTTGTTTTTTTTTCTCTAATAATTAACATAATTCTCATTACCTAATACAGAAAACAATTTTTGCGGTCGTGATAAATATAATGTTTAAAATATAAACTTGGTAAATAATGAAAAGCTAGTGAATAATTCTTCTTAATTATAGACAATACGATAACAACACGTGAACTGCCTAGAACAATGATACTTTTATTTGCGTTAAACTTTTTTTTTACTCTCTATATAACAATTTCGCAACATCCTGAGATGTAGCCAAGGGCAACCGAATTTCCATGTTCAAAAAGCTATGACTTCAGTGAGGAACAAACCTATTTGTGTGCAACGAAAATGACAGATCCGTTGCATAATGGAAATTCTATTAATGTATTATTGAAAGAAGTTAAATAAAAAAATATTTTCAAATCACGCACGAAAAATGTAATTACATATAATTTGGATGAAACTAATTATACGTGAGATGTTTAATTTTATTAGTGCGAGTTAAAAATCCGTTAGGTCGTTTATTTTTTTTTCTTCTTCTTCTAGTTCTTGGCGTGAAGGATTCTTAACTGATCGGACGTTTCAACATAGTTCTAGCTTCGTATCAAATGATTAACATATGATCAGTGTGTGGGATAACACAACGGTTCTTTGGTCCAGTGTTTCAAGTTCATTGCCTTCGTATAAATACATATATAATATGTTCAATTAAACTTAATATATATAAAAGTTAAACTAAAATTAACACTAAAGAAATACGTAAATAAAAATTTGGGAAAGTAGAAAAATGAGAATGTAAAAAGATAAAGATATTATACAGAACTATTTATAAAGAAATGTGGTCGATGGACTTAACTTCATTCAACATTCCAGTTTTTATATTATTATTTGGAATATATTAAATTTTCTGGAAATCAAGATAAACATATTGTTTTCAACGTGACAGCATGAATATTAAACTGAGATGGGATTAAAAACCGTAACGTTAAAACTAATTTTAGATACTCTTACGAATGTTATTTATGTGAATATATGCGGTTTCAATTATTAAAATTTAAAACGAGCTATACTAAAAAACTTATTATTTTATTTTTTGGTAGAAGTGCACGGAATGCTGATGAAATTCTTTGGAATTATGTGTGTATTGACCTCATGATATTGAACTACAAACTCGAGTGAAACTATTACATATAGCAAAAAAGAAAACAAGAAATCGAATCGAACCAGTTTGCTATAAATTCAGTAAACTGTTTTTATTTACACATAATAAATCGGTTTGATTTAATGCAGTCTGTGTTAAAAAGTAATAAAATGTGCGGAATAAATTACACATTAATAACAGATTATGGAGATGAGACATAAATAAAGTAGATACAAAACCGCGAAAGGATTTTTATGTTCGAAATAGATGCGACGAGAGATTTTAATTTACTTGGAAATATGGGTTAAATTAAGATGACATAGAACATCAGGATCTTATTTAATTACGAAATCATGGAAAATCCGATAATTGAAAAAAATATGTGATTTTAATAATGAATATATTATATAACAATGAAACGATTTGCATGGAATTAATGTAAAAATGATATGAAAAAAAAAGCAGTCAAAGTCCAATGAACACGAGTAAACGTAGTTTGGGAAAGAAACGATTTGGATAAAACTAGGAAATGTTGTTTTTAATAATTTACTTTCATAGGAGTACTCGAGTTGATTAGAGGGAAATTTAAAAACAGTACAAGTATCGTGAGTGGAGGTTGAAGCATCGAAATATGATATGTAAATGTTCGGTGCTGCGGCATTGTATGTTTCCCTAAGTAAAGAGTCTTGTTTCGTTGAAGTGGAATAAAAGGTGGAATTGTTATTCTGATCGCGTTCTCGTCGAGACGCATTGAAAACTTCCGAACGTATCTATGGAAATGGGCAAATAGGTTTCTTGTACGGAAAAATTATGCTGGGCTACAAAAAAAATAATAATAATAATATAGGTCGTCCAGTGGTAACCAAATGCTTTATCTACTCTGATGCATTTCGGTTGAGAAATAGGGACAAAAAACGGATATAAATAATAGAATTACAGATCTAATAAAATAGTAATACGATTGGCCTAGTTAGTGCCGGGTAAAAAGTGCTCCTTTTTGTCGATGATTTGTACAGTGTACACACTTTCCAATTTACTTAAGAGTTATGTAAACGTTTGTGCAACTTCATTGAATATATCGAAGTATATCAATGCAGACGGATTTAGAAAATATTTCCTCGCCAACTCGATAAGGCGATGTAAGAAGGCATGCATATGGATGTTGCGGACGAAAAAAAAAGTAATGAAAACAAAGCGTAAAATTGTCCTTGCGGATAAAACGACAACCGAGAAATGTGGGTGTCTCTCACATGATACAATAGATGTTTTGTATAATTTATGATTGATTAGCATATTTGGGTTGAGCAGGTATATAACCTGAATTATAAAGAGTACCTTGACCTGGTCACCTTCTTCTTCTGCTTCTTCAAAAGAGAGAACATGTGTGAGATGTACAACAACAACAAAGAAAAGAAAAAGAAAAGAAGAAAAATAATATATATATATATTGACACAATTTATTTTACCATCAAAATAAAAAAAAATCGAATTTTAGCATGTACTCGATTAAAACCTCCTCCTTCGTCTCCTTCGGCGGCTTTTACTGCCCCTGCGGCGACGCCTTCGGTGTCTCATCCTTTTCGCCTTTCTAGCTGCCATAGTCATTATAGAATCCAATTTGTAATATCCATCTGCCCTCTTTATGGCACCGAAGCTAATGCCTTTCCTAATAACCACCGGTAACTGGTTGAGAATCACATCCGCCTTTGAGTCTCCGTACGTATCCAGAATGTACTCCTTGATCATCGGCAAAGTGCAACCGCCAGACATCCTCAGTGCCCTCAACGTGTCTATAAGCACTTTGGACACCTGCGCCAGTGGAACTTTCTTGTTTAATTTTGTCATATTTCTCTATTTTCACTTTAAAAGTAAAATCATCAATCGTTTAAAGCAGTTACCGCAATTGCACCTTTTAACACATTTTAATTTCGACGATAAATTGTGCTGCCAATTTGTTGAAATTTTTAGCGATGTGACATTTCGGAAAAAAGATAATCAAATTTTTTGAACCCTCTAGATTATTTACATAGAAATCTATGTCTACATTTTTATATATAAAATATTGAATAATTATTCTTCATAAACAAACAAAATAACTTTTAGATGCTTAAATCAGAAACAGAATACGAAAATAAAATTAGTAACTGATATTTGAATAACAAGAAAAACGAATTTATTTTTAATTGTTATTGAAGATATTATTGTTAACAACATAAGTATATTAATATACACAATATTGTTATAGTGTTATGAAACATCAGATGAAATGAATAATAAAATGTATAAAAATTCAAAAAATTTTGTTAATTAAAAAAATGTAATTGATGACAGTAATGCTCTTAAACATGTTACTTTAAACAATAATTTTCAAATATATTTTATTAATAATTATTTTATTTGAAAAATGTATATAGATTCAACTTCTAAATATAAACTTGGTTTATTAATATAGGCAACCAAATATACACATATTTGAATTTAATGCTTTATTCATATAAACAATATATTCTAGAAATAGCATTATATAGATTCTTATATAATTTCTTTTGCACTAACCAACTTAGGTTAATTGAGTAGAAAGTTAGCCCAGGGTCCCCAAATTTTGATAGGTAAATAATTAAGTGTTGTAAATGGATTTGTTAAAAGAAGTGAAACAAAAACATGTATTTTTTTTAGTGTAATTTATATAACTGTATATATTTTATTTATACATAATAATATAGTTTTACAGTGAATAAAATAGTATACATTTATAATAAAATAAATAATCTATATTCCACAATACCTTTGGTCCCATTACATCTGTTCTCAGTTTTATTTAGTCGTTTCGTTGATACCCAAAATGCAGGTTAAAAATGTGTTTTTTTTTCCATTTAAGTATAATAATATGTGTTCTTTTTAAAAACTAATATAATACAGACAAAAAAAATAATACACGATACTAAAAGGAAATAGAAGAACAGTAAGCGCTTAAATTGAGCTTTTCATTCAAATAGATACAAACAATAAATGACTATAAGGTTGGATTAACTCGTACACTAATATATACATGAAACATAAACAAATAATAATAATCAAATAACAAAACGTTTAAATCTTAACTGCTTTCAGTCCTTTCTTTCCTCCGAAATCTCGGATAGCACTAAGCAACTCATCTCGTGGATCCACCACCATCTTTTCCGGTTTCTTATTTTGACTAAAACCGTTTACTTTTGGCATTATTGGAGGTGGTGGTGGTTTCTCCACATTCTTAATATTATTATTCATGTTGATGTTTGACATCATCATTCCAGTTGAAAATCGCTTATTGTTGTTGTTGTTGAAAGAATTTTGCGTATTTCTCAAGACAACGTGATCGAATAAATTGCTATTACTATTAGTATTATTAATGTTATTATTGTTACTGGTTGGAGTATTTTTGATGGACTCTGTTCTCCTTAAGTTTCTCTGAGAGAACGACACGTTCTGATTGGTGGTCGGCGTATCCATCTTCGGTGTTGGTTTCATCGGAAGGGTTTTGTAACTGTTCCACATGTTCTTATTGCTTTCGGATTGTTTAAAGCCCTTCACTACTGGCGCTTGATTGAAGCTGTTTAGTCTTATCGGTTCCGACGTTACGTACACTTGAGAATTGGTGAACGGCTGTTGCTTCGATTCACCATTAATTTGCGTTATAGAAGTATTTATTTGGTTGTCTTTGAACGGCTTCTTCAGTTCAACTGATCGGACAATCGGAAGTCTCGATACATCATCGTGAGCTATCGAATGGGGCCTCGTGGATACTTTATTTATATTACCCAAAGGTTTCCTATATCCCACAGCTGTCGTATGATTAATAAATCTCTTGGAGAAATCCTCGTTATTGGATTGTTCGCTGCCTCCAATTTTAATAACTACGTTTCCTGATGGCTGCGAGGAAATTGTCTCGGAACCGTTCACTTTTATACTTACATTCGTTTTCTCATCAGACGCGTTTACTCTTACATTAACCCCATTTAAATCGGTTTGTTTGAAAGTCGATCGTTTAATTTCCACTTGTTTAATACTTGTTTCGGTGGGTTTCAGGTTCGCTGTATTAAACTTGTAATCGGTGTCTTCTTTAAGACTAATTTGTGACTTCGGTCTTTCGGACCAAGTTCCTAAATTAATAGAAGGTGGTCCGCGACTTACATAAGACTGCGACTGCGACACTGTCTTTGCCTTCTCCTTAACATCCTTCGCCTTTTCAATATTATTTTTGATTTCCTTCTCTTGCTTTATTTCCTTCTCTTGCTTTAATTTCATTTGAATATTGCGTATTACCTAAAAAAACAGTATATAAATACAATTAGATTCAATATAAATTGTAAATAATTACCTCTAAACTTTGTAATCCAGATACATCAAACAAACTGTTAGATTTACTCATTTTATTTTCCTCAATATATTCACTAATTCCGACCTGCGATTTTGATCGTTTGACTGGATTGGCAGGGACCCAATTACTCATTGAAAACGATTCTGACCTAGTCAGACAGTTGTCTGTGGTTTTTGACCTCGCCATGGTCTTAGATCTATATTTATTAATTTCTTGCGGTTTTTTAAACACGTCTTCAGATTTTTTATACAAGTTCGTATCTTCCGGTGTTTTGACGACATTATTATTAGTTTCAGAATTACTACGAATACTATCATCTTCGAATATGTTAATCTTCTTTTTCGGCATATCGTAAGTGGTAATTTTGAAATTTGGTAAAGCACTTTCAACTTGAATGAAATTATCAGCCTTGCTATTGCTTCTAGTCAAGTTAATAGGTTTCGGATGGTTAATTACTTCTTCTAATTCGCTGATGACGCTCGACCTTTTGCTTGATATAGAATCTGTTTTTTGACTTTTAACAGCAGATTCATCATCTTTGTATTTCAAACTCGTTGCTAATTCTCTGTTATAAACTAATGATTTGCGCTTCTCTAAATTTTCAAGAGATAGTTTATTGAGGATAGGTTTATCGTCCTCGCTCTGATTTTCCGATATTTCTGATTTAGCTTCTTTCACGAGCTTCAATTTTTCAAACAGCTCTGGACTTGTGATAACGGAATCTGGTTTGAAATGATCAGGTTCAGTTGATTCGTAGTTTGTTAAATTCTCAGTTACTGGACTTGAGTCTCTGAAAGCCGTGGGCGGAGATGGTAATTGGTATTGCCATTCAGTTTCCAGGTCGTTAACATCGCCTTCTTTGGGTGTTTCTATCTTGATCGGTTCTAACATAGGTTGTATCTCTTTCATCCGTTCAATTATCGGCTTCTCATTCTCGATAATTTCGGAATTTTCTTTAGATGGAATTAAATCAGTCTCTATGTTACTCGATAATGTCGTTGCTAAGCTGCTTGCAATAGATTCTGGAGGTGAATTCGTTGAGTAAACTTGAGTTTGCAGATTGTTCTCTTGAGCTGGAGGTAACGATTCTACAAAAGCAATAAATAATTTAAATTAGTATACAATAAATACGAAAGAGCAATTTCATTAATTAGTAAATTAATAACATGCCTGCGTCTGAATCCCCCATTACCCAATTCCCTCTAAATTCCCCCGAAGACATAGAAATATCATCTAGGTCTTGAATATTATTCCATTTCTTCATGCTGCTGCTGCCCATGCATCCGGGAATACTATCAATGCTTCGCAAACTCGAAACGGATTGTTGTTTTTTAAATGGATTTCGAACGCCAATGGATTTTAATGCATGCTCATTATCACCCAGCAATGCATCAGCATGATCTGTATCCGATCTTCCAGGAAGCATTGATTCTTCGCATTCAGTATTACAATCTTTCTCCTCTTGAGTTTCCAAAGGTATTGCTTGCTTTTTATACGACTCACTAAATAAATCTACATGAATATTTTCTAATGCTCTGGCATAATTAACTTGTGACTTTTCACAGTGTTTACTGTAATTACTATCACCTTCACAGTGAATATCATTTCTAACTTCTTCTGAGTTACTACAAATTTCCTCTACATCTGTTTTTTCTATACTATCATCCTTTATATCCATATCTACTGTTTTATTTGTATCAGAAGGATTGATCTCAGATTCTTGTAAAATACATTGGTTTTCGGATTCTTTTTCAAATATATCACCGCTTACTGTAGACATAGCATCGGGTGTATATTCTTCTAATGCGCTATATGAGCTGTTGCTATCAATGCTGTTTCTATTAAGTAATATTCTTGGTTTAGGTTTTGGACAATTTCTTTGCCTGGGTACAGGTGTCGGTATATCCGAGTTACTAGTGCATTGTGTTGAGGCTAAATCTAACATGCAAAATACTAAGCATTAGTGAGTTAATTTGCTTAACACGAAATTAAAACCCACTACCAAAAGCACACATAAACACACAAAACTACAAAAAAAAGTCTTACACGAAAATTGATGATTTGAATAATTTCTTATCGAATTTTTCAACGTTTCCAGCTAAATAATATGGATACGTATCAACTAAACTCTCATCTTTTTGATTACATTCTATTTCATTTAAAACGATTTCTAAATTTGTTATTTTCTTATTAGATTCATTACAAGTAAACGTTTCAAAATTTGATATCATATCTTTCACTTTGGTATGACTACATGAATTTTCTGTACATTCAGATGATTCATCTTGCTCACATTTAAGTTTGACTTTTGGTAAATCGGTCTTCTCTAAAAAAGAAAAGTGTCGATCATTTTCCTTTCTCGTAATGCATTTTCGAGGCATGGTATTATCTAAAAAATGTTTATCTGCATTATTCTCAATTTTCTCTTCAATACTTGCTGCTATTTTGGAAACACTGATATCATCAAACATAGCAAAATCTTCTTCATCGGCATACATTAAATTAAATTCCATGGACTTATTGTCATCAGGAACAACGGTATCCTTATGCGGTTTAGGAGGAATGTCTTTAAATTCAATAGATTTACATTCATCTGGTAAACTTTTTCTTGGTGACTTAAACATTTCTTGCAGAACCAGATTTTTATATTGTCCAGGAAGATTATCTACAGATTTTCTTTTATATACTAGAATCTTTGGAGCAAGATGTTCTTCAGTTTTAGAATTCTTTACTTGGGATAAATTACTTTCACCCTTTTTATCAGTTGAAATATAATTTTTCACATCATCATAATTATCAATAGTTATATTTTGCTTGATTTTACGTTCTATTGACATGCTACGAACAAGTCTTTTTATTGAACTTTTCCTTTTGATTGAAGTATCAGAAATTTCGTCATGTTTTCCACTATTAACTCCTTGTTTATCATCTTTAAGTCCTGTACTTAAATCATCCGTTTTTGATAGGTAATTTTTTTGCATCTTCTTTACAAACGAATCTTTAGAAGTTTTTTTAGAGGAATTACCTTCTTGTTCTAACTTTTCTTTCTTATTCATATCCGAAAAATTCTCAGAGCTATCTCTTGCAATGTCTTTTGGACTTGACGAAAAGAATGATTTCTTCAATTCTGAAGTTGATTTTTTTTTATTAATTTCTGTTTTTCCTGAGTCCTGATTATCAGCACTTTTATTGTCTGCAGATTTCTTCGTTTTACTCGAATCTTTACGTGTAAAAAATGTATTCTTTTTAACATCTTCTTGAGTTACGTTCTTATCTAAAGATTTATCATCTTCAGTCTTTACATTTTCATCAGTTTTCACCTTCTTTTGAGAATTTCGTCTAAATAACGTTTTCTTTTCATCTTCTGTTTTTTCATCTTTACCGCAAGAAGTACTATCATCAAGTTCTTTGGACTTACTTATTTTTTTTAACGATCCTTCTTTTTTGAAAAATCCTTTTTTATTTTCATCAGGTTTTGTTTCTTTTAATGTTTTAGATTTTCCCGGTTTTTTCTGTGACATCATTTTATTTTCATTTTCTTTATTACATTTTTCATTTAGTTGTGTTCCCATCTTATCAATACTTCCTTCAGGCTTTTCAGAACTTGATGATTCAACCGTAGACATAATTTTAATATCATTTTCCTTAGATTTTTCTTTTTTCTTAAAACTTCCTTTTAAGGAAAAGCCACTTTTTGATTTATTTTCAATATTACTTTTAGATGATTTGTTATCCACAATGGCTGTATCAAATTTACTTACATCATTATATTCAGAAGTTTTATTCTTTTTTGAATTTCGTCTAGCAAAAAATCCTTTATTATTATCGCAATCTAATTTATCATTTAATATGTCTTCATTTTGAAGGTTTCCCGTTGAAACATATTTCTTTGAGCTTTTTCTAACAAAAAAACTTTGTTTTTTCTTATCATCTGCTAGATTTTCCGTGGATGATATATTTTGCTTTTCTTGTTCTACATTACTTGATTTAATATCATCTACACTTTTATTTAAGTTTTTCTTTGCAAAGAGACCTTGTTTCTTCTTGTCATCAGATAGATTTTCTAAGGAAGATAAATGTACTTCTTCTTTTTGATCCACATTACTTGGCTTGGAATTATCTACTGGTTTATTTCTTTTCTTAGAGTTAATCCTTCGTAAAAAGCCTTTCTCATTATCAGATTCATCTTTTAAAGATACTTTAACTTTAACACATTCGTTTGATTGATTTAAACTAATATTATCTTTTGGTTGATTTCCATTATCCTTCTTTTGTGAACGACGGAAACTGAACCTTCTTTTACCCTGTGAAAAATCAGATGAACTACTGTATTTAGAAGAAATACTTTCAATTGATTTACTAAGATCAGAATCATTTGACTTGCTTTGTCTGGAGTAGAAGCGGTTTTTATTTGCTTTAACCTCAGTGTTACGACCTTCAATAGTTTGTGAACTATTTTCTTTAATTATTTTTTTAGGTACTTTTTCCTTCTTTGAATTTTTTCTTGAAAAAAAGCTTCTTCCTGAGATATTCTCTTCTATGTTTTCTTTAGAACATAAACTATCCGTTGAGTATTTGATAAAAGTTTCAGTAGAATCACTTTTATGTAAGTTATCAATGATTTGACTAGAACAATGCTTTTCTGATTCACTTTTTTTTAAGTTTTCAGTAATTTCTGTATTAACATTTGAAACATTTCTTTGTGATTGAAGATCATTGCTACAAACTTTATCAGTTTCATATACAGATGTATGTAAATTCTGTCCCAAAGTAGTGTTATCTGTTTTATCTCCAAATTTTGATTTTTTCTTATTAGAGACATCAATTTCATTGGAATTTACTTTTGTTTCATTTATATTCTCCTTGAATGCATCAGGTTTTTTCTTTCCAATTTCAGAATTCTGCCTTGAAAAAAATCTTTTAGACTTTTCCAACGTTACTTCCTTGACATTTTCAGTATTTTCATTGCATTTATCAGTTTTGTTTACATTTTGTGTTTTTTCCTTCCTTTTAGAAAGTTTATATTCATTTTCTAAGTTTTCATCAGTTTTATTTTTGTTAGCTGAGTTTTTCAGTGAAAATCTTCTCTTCTTAGGTAAATTATCATTTGCAGATAATTGATCCTCAGATTTACTATCATCATGATTTACGTTTGGTGAACTATTACTCACTTTTTTCAAAGAACTTTTTCTTAAAAAAGTTTTTCTCTTCCTAACAGCCCCAGTATTAACTGGAGTTTCTTCATGATCTGAAGATTTATTTTGATTCTTTTCTTTTTGAGAGCTCCTTTTAAAAAATGTATGTTTATTGCCATCATTAGCATAAGGTTTGTTTACTCTATCAACACTTTTTGTACTTTCTTTCTTCAAATTAGCTCCCTCCAAATGTTCACTACCTTTCACAGATTTTTTCCTTCTCAAAAACGAATCTTGTTTTGTATTAATCTTTTCCTCTACATTAATACCTTTTAAACTATCATTTGAGTATGAAGGTTTCGTAATTTTAAACAAAGAAATAGATCTTTCCTTAGTTTCTGCTTTTGGCAATGTATTAACTTTTGATTCTTCTTTAGGTAGAATATCTATATTCTTTTCCGACGATTTTCGCGAAAAAAAACTTTTCTTTCCACTATTCGTATCGATTACTTCTGTTGACGCCGATTTTTTTCGAAAAAATAAACTTCGCCTTGAATCACTGGAATGTTTATTTGCTTCACTGTCTAAATTGGTATCAACAGATTTGCTGTAATTTGACTTGAAGAGTTTTAGTTCGCCTCTTGGAAAAGTACCTGATTTAGAATCACTCCTTCTGAAAAATCCTTTGCTTTTATTCTTCGAGACATCTTGGAAAGTACCCACTACCTCAGTTTTAGGTACAGCATAAGAAAATCCTTCTTCTGGATTAATAACAATGCCTCTTGCAGTATATTGTATTTTCTCTATAGAAATTCCATCCAATTCACTAGTATATGATATGTAACTATTTCTCTTTGAATCATCTTCAAATGTGATGCATTCTACAGATCCCTTAGGATTGGATAATATTTCCAATATTTCATCATCATCATTATTAATATTTTGTTCATTTGCTTTTATAGAGACTAAATTATCGTGAGTTGGATATTTCACAAATTTCGATTCGTTTTCGATACTTTGATTATATTGAAATTTGCTAATATCAGTCTCATCTATTCCATTTTCGTTATCAAATGATATAGTTTTCTTCGATTTTAAATTCTCAAATTTCGGTGAATGTATTTGCGAATCCTTGAAGGAATGATAACTACTTGGTGAGATCATATCATCTGCGGATTTATTTAGTTCTTGTTTATCTTTAAATATGAAGACACCCCGTTTACCTGGAGAACTATCAAGAATATCCAAAGACTTCGATTTTGTTGGAACTGGTTTAATTATTTGGCTGTTATCGAATTTACTGTTCCATTTCTTTGTTATATTGTTGTGAAATTTTTTGAATATTGTTATGTTAGGCTCATCGTTATTTGATGTTTTATCGACAGATTTAGATTTATGTTTCGTTGAAAATTTTCTTTTTAACGTAGTAAAATGTTTAGATTTTGTGGGATTCTTTTGTTCGCCAATATTTTCGACACTAAACGTATCGTATGAGTCTTTAGTTGGTGAGTCGTATAGAACATCAATGGAATCATAATCGGTGTGATAAATATAGTCGAATTCGTTTTCGATCAATTCTAGAGACTTGCTTTTTTTGTAGCTTTGATCCAACAAACAGAAATTTGCATGCATAGACGTGGAACGCTTACCTGACTGTTCTACGGGACTATCAACTACAGGACTAGCTTCTAGGTTGTCTACAGAACAGGCTGCATTTAGAACTGGCGGTGGTGGAGGAGCCTTCTTTTTTCGACCTAGAAAATGTTATTAATTAATTTAAATGTTTATTTATTATATTATGAGAAATAATTGTACCTGCAAAAGCTAAGCTGGAAGTCGATTTAGATTTGGATGACATCGAAGAGAGGTTGCTGGTGCTCTTGCTATGTACGCCGTTCAGTTTGTCGGCTTCTCTACTCATCAGCAAGGTTTGCGGTCGTCGAGGCAAGGAAGTATTTGCGTTGTCGCTAAGTATAGAAGCCTCATGATAACCGGAACTGTCACTGCTGTTTCTCGAATGACAGATGGTTAATCCGCTTTCCGTTTTCCTCACTTGATTCTCGACGTTCCTCGTCTCCTCCTTTGCTGGGGGTTTCGGTGCGGGCCTCCTCTTCCTCAGAGGTGCCTTCGGTTTTTCCGAATTGTTGACTTGTTGCACACCTGGCGGAGTGACGGATCGCGAATCGTCGCTGTGTGTAGGTGATATGGATCTATTGTCGCTCGATAGAGATCCAGAACCGTTGCTCTATAATTGAAGAACGTTGCGATCAACGAAATATGGAATAATCCTCCAATGACGTTCTTACCGTTTTGCTTCTTTTGAATATCAAATTAAACACTCCGCCGGATTTCGATTGCTTCCTCTCTTCGTCTTTGCGTAAGGCCATTATATCGCTGGCCGAAAAGGCTTGGCTCAGTCTTGAATTTCCTTTCGAAACGAAATGGATCTCAGTAATCTGGTAATCGTTCAAAGTCAATTTGAGGTCCAGCACTTGATCGAGGTTAGCTGAAATGATACAGTTAGCAATGACGCCTCTCTCTCTCTCAATCTAATTGCGTTTTATCACAGTGTAAATAATAGATGTACTTGTTTCGTGTAATTGAATTAAACTATTTAGCGGAACGCGACTTGTCGCTACGACATGATAAGGTAAACTGTGTGAGGCCATAGAAAAATAGTGTATTATGGCTCGTGTGGTGATTCACGTGCGAAAATAGTAAACCAAGGAAAATGACGTCCGCATGAGGTAATTCAATTTTATAATTCGAATGCAAACGTTCTTTATTAATCGATGCAAATGCATCATCAAACATATGATTTCGTTACCTGGATGCCTGAATTCGTATTTGGATTGGTCTAAATTTTTCTCGTCGCACACTTCCTTCATGATATCCTCGAGGCGAGCGTTCATGCTCACCCTCGATACGTACAACTGGTTCCTAGGTAGATGCACTCGCAGCCTGAATGTGCTCACGAACGGCTGATGACCTGGAGGGACATTTTTAGGCACGGGCAGACTCCGTCCTTTTGGTATTACTCTTATGTGTTGCGTGTCCAGTGTTCCTATCGGTGTGTTTGGTTTGTAAGGCAACACTTTGTCGTTATGCTGGGAGGATGGGGCTATGCCCAAGGCTTGAATTGAGTGACTCGACAATTGCAAATGGTGTGCAGTTGTAATTTGAACCAGAACATCCATCATAGGTGTTCTATAAAAAAAACAAATTGCGTAATTATAAACAAACCTCACTGCGAGAATTGTGCGCAATTATCGACGTCGCACGTGTCTTTATTTAATTGCAATTATTATTACCAGTTTTATTATTTATCATTTATAGTTTCTACATCAATTTTATTATACCTCTATCCAATACTACAATTTATAAGCAATAATTAATACTTAATAAACCTTCAAATCATCAATAAAAGAAAAGTTAATAAGTTTCTATCTAAAAAATAAGAAGTTATTTCATACATATAAACAATCTAATCAGAATTCTGCATCTAAAAGTATTAAGGATATTGTTTTATCTATAAAATCTGATTGAATTCATATATTTAATGGAATATTTTATCTGGAATTAATTGACATAAACATACTTTATCAAAATCTGAACAAATATGAAATATCTATTCTATTTATGTGTACATTTTTTGAAATTAAATGAAAAAAAAAACACAAAAATGTATATCCGATTTCTCTAATATTTAATTTTTAATTACGTATCACATTTTTTTTATTTATAATTATTATTTTTATGTTTTCTTTATTCAAATAATAACTTAATTTGGCGGATATATCCGCCGATTGCCCACAAAAGTTTAATACATTCGGAATATGAAAATATTAGTTATACAAACAACATTACTCCAAATAAAATTAACTGAAAACAAAACATATTTGTATGTTTTTATGCGACCCAAGGATTTGTACTGTAAATTAGTATGCATCGGTATTTGTACCTGTAATTGCACAGCCTTGACTATCCAAGTACAATATTGACCGAACTATTTAAACTTAACATATTTGAACTTCTAAAGCTAATCAACTATGCACTTTGCCTTTGTAAAACGAAGCTCGTAGAATAAAAATTTGCTGTTTAACGATAAACAAGTAAATTGGGTCAAGTATTCCGCATTTTAAGTCAATACAGTACGAACAGGTAACGCGTCTTTTCCTTACAGCCTTTATTATTATTATTTTTTTTCTACTCACGCTCTTAATTTGCGACATCTTGAATGCTCGGCACAAAAACGATGTCAAACTTTAATTGGGTAAATGCGAAATCGACTTTCCATTTTCTCAATAATTACGGCTTCGTACATCACCGCAAAGGAAACAATTATTGCAATTAGTTTTTGATAAATATAAAAAAAAAGTTTATAATGAAAAGCGCAATTGGAAATTTATATAAAAATAATAAATAAAGTGGAAAATTATCGGTAATTACACGAGCTTCAACAATTAATTCCCGTAGGGGGATTTATTTGTTATTTGTAATTGCTTCGCTCTCGGTAGAGCTGTTATATGTCACACGGAATTATGTTCGTTTCGTAATTAATGCGATTTAATAACGAGTTCATTCATAAACGGGAGGAATAAAGAGAAAAGTTTAAGGTTACGTGCATAATCCTATAGACGAATTTATGCTTGTTTTATGGTTCAATTAGATGGAGTAACCTTCGTTCGAAACGAGAGTGATTTGCATGCATCGATTAATGTTATGATTACCGGAATGTAATTAACTGTAATAAATTATCAACTAATTTATTTCAGATCTAACTCGTGGGATTATTTTATATCTTTGTTGATAATAAGTTTTATAGCTTATCGTAAAATATTCCGGACTGTTTGAAACCAGATTATAGTGAATTCGGACTGAATGAAGCAGCAATATGTGATGAATTGCGATATTTATTTAATATATTAATTATATAATACCCAAAACATTTTCAATAAAAATTTGTTAATAAAATATCAAATGTTAGTAGTAAACAAAACTTTTTTTTTTAATTATAATGACAAGTGTCAAATATCAGTATAATTCACAGTCAGAGTAATATAGACAATAAAATACTTTTTGTTATTTAAAAATAAGTTTGTAAGACTGGATTCTACTGAATCCGCACTGTTCGAAACCAGACTATTCGAGGTATTGCTCAATTTGCAATAAATGTTTTTGATCAAGATAAAAATTTGTAAATTGCATAAAGTATTAATATTGACAATAAAGTTATTTGCATTCAAGTATAATACGCAACTCTTTTTTTTGCAAGCTAAACTAAATTCAAGTTGTGCGTATTATATACGAGATTTTAGTTATTTTACCTTCGCTCGACGGACATCTTGACCTGCCTTCCATTTGGTAAATGTACGGTAAGATCCATGGCTCCTGCAAGCATATCCGGTGGAGTGTCTTCCGTAATGTGCAGCATCGTGACTCCGCTGTGTCCTCTGCAAATACAAATAAAGCACAAATTAGTTACAAGGCTGTAAACAGTGATACGGTTGTATTCCAGATAGGCAAAGCATTATTACAATCGTACGATAGAAAAGGATTTAGCACGTACAACCAAGAACGCACTATTCTGAGCAAATTACACAATTTATAAAATGATAGATTAGATAACGCAGACTATCGCAATTGTTGTCTCTGAAAACACGACTCATGCAATTTAACCAGACACAATAAAAAAAATTTAATAATAATTGTTGTTCTTGATCTTTTTTATTTTGTCTGGACAAATAAAATGGAAAACATATGTTGTGTTTTGTGTAAGCCACTAATTATCCGCAAATAACGAAATCCCGGCTCGCGGCGAACCGGAATGCATTAAGTGGACATAATTTATTCACGGTTTGTAACAAAAATAACAACGAAAACCGGTTAATTGGAAACTGGAATCGATTAATGCGTTGATATTTGGAGGTTGCAATTTCTGCTAAAGTCGCTTTGGAAATCCCACACATTTTGTACAAATATTTATTTTGTGGTTTTAAAATATATTCTCAAAATTGAAGTTTCAGTAGTGATTATAAGATTTATATAGTTTTTCTGTTGATTTTTAATAAATTTTAAATAATTGAAGAGTCAGTAGTGATTGTATAAGAGAAAACTAAAATAAAATCGTCTTGAAATGTTTTCACAAATGAAGACCTCTTAGAAATTGAAGAGCAAAAGAAAACTGAAGTTGATTGCAACTAAAACAGTATTTCTTGTATCATTCTCAAAGACTTTGACGAAACGTTTCTATAAATCGAAGAGGTAATTGAAATGTTCAAGTGCGCATTCTTAACTTAATGTTTAAAATCTAATAAATATTTTTTATAAAAAAATAATCGTATTTTGATAAAATGATTATGACCTTGACATTAAATTAGAAACTGCATATTTGTAAGCGTAAAATCAACACAAATTCTGACGAATCATAAATTTAGTATATACCAAAAAACAAGTTAAGAGACGCAATAAATCACAGTCGTTTCGTCCTTTGGCAAGGACACACAAAGTCAAAGTGAGGTCGTGTTACCTGCAGCAGTTATAATGGATGAAATGGCTGCAGGATAATAATATTCTCGTGGAACCTCCTTCGTACTAGGCTTGTCGTCCAAAAGGCATATCGGCGCGTTCGAAAACAGGCTTCGATTAATTAACGAACACGCAACTTCCATTATCATTAAAATCAACCTGTCGATAATTTACGACGGGAACAATAGAGCTGTTTGATCGCTGGAATTTCGCTTGCCATTATGCCCGTAATACAATATAGGAATTTCCTTTTTTTATCAAGGAAGATTGTAAATAAAAGTCTAATTTCTTTTCATCCTTCACATACTTCCCCACATATTTATTTATTTACATAGATAAGTATTATCACCGATTTTCAGTTTGCATTTTTCACATATTAATTCTTATTGTTTTAATGTGAAGGTTTTACTCATCATCTATTACCAAGATATTTTGGAGACTTCTTACTTTTGAATATCAAATACTTATTAGAGATTACAGGAATATCTCGCATAACCCAGCTTCAAACAGTTCCGATTCACTACAGTCCAGTTTGAAATTTTTTAAACAATAACACTAAATTTTAATTGAGCAAAATATAATATAAATAAATTCTAAAAAAATAGTACAAATTTTGTTACTTCTTGCCAATTCTCTTTATTCAATTTTTTAGCTAACTTTACTTTGCAAAATAATCTAAAATTTAATAGGAAACTATAAGCAATTAAGTAAATGATCTAAATTTTATTGAATATACATATAATTCAACAAATGTAAAGAAAATTGTGCTATTGTATTACTTAATTATTAAGTTGAACTTACCTATAAAATAATTTTATTCTTTATTTTATATTAAAAAAAAATGAGAGGATTTTTCAGTTACATAATATTCACTACACGAAAGTGGCTTCTGCTGAATCACTATAGAATACTTCAATCAATCAATTTTCGAAACTATTTCATTGAAACCGTCGCGTAACAACAACCACTTTTACTTTCTTCGCAGCGATGCGTGATAGGTTTTACAAAAGAAATATCGTAAGATATTTACGTATTTTTCGTACGTTTCGCTTTTTGTTCGAAGTGCTGCGACACTCTTTTTTTCTTCTTCATTCAATCTTCGTCTTCGAGACTGGTAGTAAAGTGGAAAACCGTTACAATTACTTAACGCTCGTAAGCGTAAACAATATTCGAACTGTTTTCATTCGTCTCAACCAAACGTGCCTTTTTTTTATCTAATCTACTGAATATTATTATTAACCGATTCAAATTTTACATTTGCTGTCCATCATGTAATTCGCATGGAAAACACAGACGTTTATCTTATCGCTCAATGTTTATTTTCAATAGAGTTAATTTTGTCCAAAATATTATTAACGATATTTATTACTGTAATAAATGTGTCTGTTATATAAAAAAATATTAGAACAAGGTAATTAAAAAAAACTGTGTTTTAGTAATTAAGGTCAACTGGTTAACAAGTTAGTCTAATTTCGTTACAAACTTGAATTATTAGCAATTAATAAAAATCAAATAAATTTTTACACATTTAATGTAAAATTTATAAAAAAAATCTTTCTGCTCTATAAAATATTGATATTTGTGATTTTACAAATGTCGTTATTTTTATTTCATTTACATTTTTTCTATTAAGTAACTTTGTTTTGATACATCAAAAATAGGACATTTTATATAATTTTTCCAATTCTATGAGGCAATACACAAATTCTGTAGAATATCAAAAATATATTTATTATATAACTTTGTTACTAAAATATGTAAAACATGAGAATTAAATGTTCATAATTAAAGAAATAGTTGCTTTTTGTAAGATAAAATAAGGGACCTTTGATACATCAGATGAAATGTAGGACAACAGTTCAATTATCCTACATTTCATCTGATGTACATCAATTCAAGTAAAATTGTTATAACCATGATATCAATCATAAACCGCGAGTGTAGTTATTACAATTACAAATAGTAATTACGTTTTTCTTATGATTTCTGGTTAGCACGTTTACAAGCAAAGAACTGTGACGGGCAATGACTCGATTCGTGGCCATCCTTTTTTTATTTACGAAATTTCCTGCTAGATGTGTATCGTATCGAAGAACCGTTGCGTTCAAGATCTATTGCGGCTGAAACCTCGCCGAAATCGGCTGTCATCGTTTTGCTTACTTTTTTCTGTTGTTGTTGTTTTTGTTGTATTCAACAGTTCAAGAGTTCTTCGGAAGAAATAAAGACGAAGAAAACATTCTTGAACGAGGTTAATGGTTACTCGCCTTAAACACCGTCGGTTAGGTTGGTTTAATTAATATTAGAATACACAGAGACGTCCGACGTTCTGGAGGTGAGAGTACGCTGTTCCACTTATGTTCAACTTGCGTTCATAAATAATAAAAGCCGGAGTACAATTTACATTTCACGTTTTATTCGCTAACTGTAAATGTACTGCTGATGTTTGCATTAGCTTCGTGCAAAAAAATAATAATCTGTGTCATTTAAAAAAAATTAATAACATAATCCACTAATAAAAATTATATAAAAAAAAGATTTAATTATATACTAAATATTTTCATACTAAAATTTTTACATTTTTTCAACAACTGTGTAATTAAATATTTCTAATTATTATACGAATTTTAATAGGTTTTACGAAATCTTGATTTTGACATATTTAAAGTTTATAGAAGAACCAGTTAAGTGCAAAAGTAACAGTTTATATTGTTAGAAAACTAAAAATTAAAGATCTCGTGGAAATTAAAGAGCAAGAGAAAGCTTAAGAGGAAACATCTTAAAATTATTGTTTTTTCACTATTAATTTTACAAATTATAAAGTGAACCGAATCAATTTATACTATATATTAAATTAGTAAGAGATAATTTGATAAAAATAATATTCTGTCATAAAATTACAATATTTATATAATAATAATTTGATAGTTTTTTTTTATAATACTTTCATATAGTTTTTCTTTCAAGAACAGAAGTATTTACATCTTTAGTTAAGAAAGATAGATTCTTATATTAATTCATTTGTATTTAGTATTTGTTTAATGTAAATTTATAGTATTTTGTGGATATATAATGAAGTAATAAATACTAATGAAATAGAAAGCAGAATTAATTATTGTAGGTAGACGAAATTCGAAACAAATTCTTTAAAAAAATATGTATATATAATATATACATATAGAAATTATAGTTCTTAGTCACGAACGTGCATTAAAGAGAATGATTCATTGATTATTAATCCCACATTTCAGGTTTAGGGCAATGAATATCATCAGGAATGTAGATTAAAAGACAAGCTTATGTATCATTTCCTTTTAAGTTTTCTTTTTTAATATAATCTTTTACAATTTGCGTTACTAATTGTAATATATTTACAGTATTTTAATAAATATTAATTATTGTATTGTATTTGAATTGAAATGAAAATTTAGAGATATTTATGAAAAAAATAATAATCTAGATTCAATATCGCGTTGCATTCATGGTTTTTAATATACATACTGTTAGTTTAAGTATTTTGTTCTTATTAGATGTATGAATAGTTAGTAAACAAGAACGTGGTAGAAAATAGCGATGGGAATAAAGAAAATAATTGAATTACTGTACCGCAATAGACGAAGGTATGTAAACTAAATTGGATTAAGTCGACAAACATTTTTTTGTAGGTATTCGTTGGTTTATTTTCGTGAGACTGGATTCGTCTGCAGAACGGCCTCGTAGGTCAGTTCGTAAAAAGAGACAGTTGGTCAGAAAGAACACCGTTACATATTCATGCGGCTACATAATACATTCACCCATTCTGGATGGGCTTTTCTTCCGTAGACATTAATCGTACGAACCGACGTACGAACGAGAACAACCTTTCAATTTGATTCTCTTCTCTGTTCCCAGCAAAAGCATTTTTATAGGTCCAATGCTGCGACTGCGA